TGACCCATTTTCAATGCCCTGGCTGAGGGAAGGAGGTTCTCACCCAAGATTTGACGGTACATGGCCCCGTCCATCGTCCCTTTGATGCGGTGACGTTGTCCTGTCCCCTTAGCAGAAAAACACCCCCAAAGCATAATGTTTCCACCTCCATGTTTGACGGTGGGGATGGTGTTCTTGGGGTCATAGGCAGCATTCCTCCTCCTCCAAACACGGCGAGTTGAGTTGATGCCAAATAGCTCGATTTTGGTCTCATCTGACCACAACACTTTCACCCAGTTTTCCTCTGAATCATTCAGATGTTCATTGACAAACTTTAGACAGGCATGTATATGTGCTTTCTTGAGCAGGGGGACCATGCGGGCGCTGCAGGATTTCAGTCCTTCACGGCATAGTGTGTTACCAATTGTTTTCTTGGTGACTATGGTCCCAGCTGCCTTGAGATTATTGACAAGATCCTCCCGTGTAGTTCTGGGTTGATTCCTCACCGTTCTCATGATCATTGCAACTCCACGAGGTGAGATCTTGCATGGAGCCCCAGGCCAAGGGAGATTGACAGTTATTTTGTGTTTCTTCCATTTGCGAATAATCGCACCAACTGTTGTCATCTTCTCGCCAAGCTGCTTGGCGATGGTCTTGTAGCCCATTCTAGCCTTGTGTAGGTCTACAATCTTGTCCCTGACATCCTTGGAGAGCTCTTTGGTCTTGGCCATGGTGGAGAGTTTGGAATCTGATTGATTGATTGCTTCTGTGGACAGGTGTCTTTTATACAGGTAACAAGCTGAGATTAGGAGCACTCCCTTTAAGAGTGTGCTCCTAATCTCAGCTCGTTACCTGTATAAAAGACACCTGGGAGCCAGAAATCTTTCTGATTGAGAGGGGGTCAAATACTTATTTCCCTCATTAAAATGCAAATCAATTTATAACATTTTTGACATGCGTTTTTCTGGATTTTGTTGTTGTTATTCTGTCTCTCACTGTTCAAATAAACCTAACATTAAAATTATAGACTGATCATTTCTTTGTCAGTGGGCAAACGTACAAAATCAGCAGGGGATCAAATACTTTTTTCCCTCACTGTACATAGAGTGTGATACGTAGAGTTTATACAAAGAGTGTTTATTCACCGTTAGTCAGTACCTCTACACTAAATAATGTTCTCTGGGTGTGCACCAGGTCATGCTTTTTATTAGACATATCTGTTTGCAAACAATGTTTAAAAAATTAGCATTGAGTTAATAAAGACGCATACAAACATGGTCTCTTTTTTGCTTTCTTGAGTAAGGCAGTTCCAAAATGCAGGGGTTTCAGCCTAGCTCAGTGCTTTCTGTGGTGGTGGGGCAGCCAGCGGAAAATACGGAGCGTAGGGGTTGGTAATGTTCTCTAGTTGCGCCGTGATTGGCTCAGTGTTCTGTCACTCATGGGGACACTACGTCACCGCAAAACATTCAAGCCCCTTGGGTTCTGCCATAGAGTTACATTAGAAGTGCCCATCCAAGAAGGCTTAAGGTTGTTGGCCACAGATAAAATGATGTCAAATCAAGTTATATCTTCCGTAGCTTTTTCAACATCATATTTTCAAAATCTTAGCTAGCAAGCTAGCAGTCATCATCATTCATTAAATCTACAATCTACTGTCAAATCCTTTTTAATCCTTGTCATATGAAGAGAAATTATGAAGAGAAATTATAGATAAAACGTATCGTGCTCATCGGCCAATGGACATAAACATCACACAACAAGTTGGAAATCGCAAATTCAACAATGAGTGGTTTGGAAGGAATCACTGGCTAACTTTAAGCGTTGCAAAGCAATCACTAGCCTGCTATTCAGTGGAGTGGGTGTGTGGTCCAAGTCTGGGTTTAAGGGTCTCTTTTCCAAGCTTAGAAGGATAAACATGCAACACCACGGGCCAGAAAAGTTTGAATACATTGGCCATGCTGTCAATCCAGCATGACTTCTGCTCCGTTCAAAACAACTGGAAACTCGGAACTGGGTAATCTCAGGACTTCAGTGAGTTCAAGACAACTGGGAACTCTGAAAAAAATGAGCTCCAACTGGGAAAATACGTTTTGAACGGTCATCCAACTCGGAATTCTAAGTCGGGAACTCAAGCCTCTTTCTAGAGTTCCGACCTGAAGATCACTGACGTCATGATTCAACCTTGTTTTTTTCAGAGTTCCCAGTTGTCTTGAAAGCACCATAAATCCAGAGAATGCTAGATTTATGACAAAGTTTGATGACAAAATTTGCCCACGAAGGACCTCCGCGCCACTTTCCTGTTCAAGTGAGCACAGCACAACAAGGTGAGTCCAAAAATGTATTGTATGCTGCTGCATAAATGATATAATATGCCAGGGAGATATGTATACTGTAGCTAAGAAAGTAATACTAAGTGTATGTTGTGTAGTAAGCTGTTAGTAGCCCATGTGCCTCACTAATAATTTGGTCCCTTTTCCTTTCATAACTTAGCCTACTGTTCTGACTTTGTGGTGCACATTTAGCCTTTAGTCTGTTTTAGAGAAATGTAATCATTGAATATTGTAAGAGCTTTCATTGTCTGCTTATATGCCCCCTTTATTTATCCTACGGTTCTGACTTGGTGTACAGGGAGAATACTGTAAGAACGGCCCATGTTCTGAATTCTGTCACTGTACATTTCAAAAGTGCTGAACAAAGAGTTATATTGACTACGTCCGTCCTAGCTCGCTCTTTAATGTCTTAATCGAAATTACGGATTGCCTCTTATCCGCTCGTCGTCCCCTTATGCCATAGTTTGTACATCTCAATTGTCAGTAGAAACCACATTTGTTTAAGCAAGTCATCCATATCAGCTATGTTTTTTAAAAAGGCAGTAAATGAGGCTGAATGAACTGTTTCGCTGCCAGACAAGGCTCCGCTGATAGCCAGGTGTAGCGGTGGTAAGGATTCACTCCATGGTGCTGAAAGGAAAGCTCTGCTGTTGGGGCAGCTTTATGTTGGCCCTAACAGTTTGTGGGCACTGTTTGTCACCGTTATAGTGCAATTAATGTACTGTTTAGTGTTGTGGCTTTGCTGGCATGCATCAAAAACATATTTTTTGAGTTTGCCCCACCAAAATCGCCACTGATTACTGTCAATCTGAGTTAATACAGTAAATGCATGTTTGATCAGGTGTGTTATCTATCATTTCAATTCATGAACAATAGCTTGCGTGCCTGAGACATCGGACACTCCATGGATTCTGGGAAAAGAAGCAGGCGTACTGTATTTAGCACTGTGTTGAGACAGATTCTGGCTCTGCTCTCTACATCCTGAGGTAGGGAAACACCACATCCCACTGACCCGAGAGAGAGAGGTGTGTGTGTGTGTGTGCTGTGGAGAGGGTGTCGATTGTTTTCACATAGTAGCAGACCTCCTGTCTCTCTCGGATTCATATTGCGCCATATCCAGTTCCTACCAGTTATCTGAGCACTTGGCCTCCAAAGTGACGATTTCCTCTTATTTTACCTGTTCCATTGACCCTGACCGACCCCCTTACTAAAATATATTCTTATTTATGAATGCTCTTCCTTTTAATTTGACTAAAATCTGTGTACAGGTGTAAATATATCTGTTACGCTGCTGAGGCCAATACTAATATACCCAAAATTAGATTTTTAGGCATGATTCATATTAGGCACAGTAGTAATCCGGGCAGGCACTAGTCCTTGATCATGACTCTCAGTTCCATTACATTACACACAAATCATTGGACGAAGGCGTCTTCTGTACAGGGGAGTTTTGTGAAGAGCCCTCGACACTCGGTCTGAACATTATCACACATCGCTTGCAGTACGGTTTGGAAGCATAAGGACCTTGTCTTTCATATCAGTGAGAAATAATTTTTCAAAAAAAACAAATGGTTCAATTGATACACACCTTCATTGGTTTAGGGTCAGTGTTCCCACACGGCCATATCTCCATGTTACAGACGGAAGACTGAGGGACCACCTGTGGTAATTAGCTATCTAGCGTGCTCCTAACACCTGTGTGGAATGGAAGAAGGCTTACAGAAACGTGTTGTCACTGAAAAATACTGTCGACTGCAACTGTGATGAGGCTGGTTAACACAGTGTACAGTAAGTGTATATTTAGCATTAGTGAAATTATTTTGCTGTGATATGAAAGTAAAGGGATTGATGTTTCTAGAACCGTATCGCATTTGAGAATCAAGTCACGTTTCGATGGAGTATCTGGCTGTTTTGGCTGCCAGAACCAGTCTACTTCTTAAAATAACACAATGTTCTTGAACCATAAGGAGTAACGGCAGGCTCCTTAAGAGTGCATCTTGGGCTAGGTAGGCACATACTAATCTACCAAGCATTTCTTCAAGTCATCCTGAACGATTGCAGGGTGTACAAAAGGCTGTGAAGTATTTGTAGTTAATCACATCAGTAATGTCAGTTCATTATATCAGAGCTGTAGCTCCGCCCACCGGTGTGAAGTAGAGCAGAGCATGCTGGGTGATCTCCAGTTTAGAGAAAATCAGCTCGAGAGAAGTGAAGTGAGAGACACCTCCAGCCATCCTTGTGTTTTCCCACCAGTTAGCTTTCATTGGGTTAGCCAAGGCCAGTGTGCGTCATTGTTGATATACAACACACACACACACACACACACACACACACACACACTTTGGTTGAAGCAAGTTGCCAGACCACTAAGTGCCTTAGTCCATCCACACTACATACACTGTGCGGTGCTGTTCCGTGCCTGTGCATGTTCAGCGTTATTAAACCACCTCAACTGGAGTCCCACCTGTCTGTCATCTGTGCCCTTACCAGCACACGGAAGAGAACACATAAAGTAAAACCTAACCTAAAGAATATACAGTCCACCAAGTCCTCACTTACACAGGGAAATAAATGGATATGGTCAGGTCTACTTGCACAAGTTGGCTTTAGGCTACTGTACGTTTACGGTAGCAAACTACTCAAACGCTGTCTTTAAACGGTAGAACACGCCCTAAACCCCGATAAGGCAGTCGTTTCATGAGCACCGTGCTGCAGGAACGGTGTCTGTCGAAGGCAGAGCAGTGACAACGTTGTGCGTCCCGTGATCAGTGCGTATCTTCACCGTCGCAATGGCAGACGCTTTGGGTAAAGTCCCCGACGCTGAAATCGATCCAGAGGGGACATTTAAGTATATTTTAGTGAGGATAAAAGTAAAAGATGGAACTGAACACAAAGATATAGTGAGAGGCACAAAAAGTGCTGGGCAGTATCACAGTAAGTTTGCCTTGTCTCTTTCGTGGCTGTTGTCAGACAGCATTGCTTTGAGGTGCCCGTTGCCCACGTACACCAATCCTGCTGTCATTAGCGACAATGTGCAGTTGTAGACCTATGTACTACATTTATACCAGTGGCTAAATGTAGCCGAAGTTATAAATTGTTACAATGATATCTAACGGCATTTGCTAGTAAACCGAGGGCACGCAGCTCAATAACATGTGCATTTGCATGTGCCATTGCGCTATATAGGCTACTGCCCGCAACTGCAGGCAACCAAATACAGAATGTTGGAGCATTGTCAACATGCATATGACTAAAGATAGCCACATAAGAGCTGATTATCACAGATACAAACAGGGCCGGCCCTAGCCTTTTGGGGGCCCTAAGCGAGATTTGGACCCCAAAAAATGTGTTTCTTTCAAAAACAAGGACATTTCTAAGTGACCCCAAACTTTCTGGTCGGGCCCCATAACACCTGGGGGTCCCTAAATGACCACTGATGCCCAGGGCCGGCCCTGGATACAAACATTGATGGGGCCCTAGGCCTGCATGAGTTGACTAATTGTGCAAAATGTCACTCTTGGTTGCAACTGTAACATTGTATACCTTGGCCTTCATCCATCACATTCCCTCCCTTTCAGATTTAATGTTTATCACTTTGACTGATTTTCAGATCATATATTTGAGAAGGTCACACCGGCTATAACGGCCCTGGGACTGGAGTGCAACTGTCTTGGAGGAGGGAAGATTGAGCACAACAGCAAAGACAAAAAACTGCGTGTGTTCGGGGAATCAACTGTAAGTGCATTTCAGTTCAATATGCCAATAAGGGCCTACTCCCCAGAGGGAAAGGCCCACCAACCGAGGAGAGGAAAACATTTTTTTCGAAACCTCTTGAAAATAACATGTGCTGTGTCCCCCCCCCCCCCCATTTATTTCAGGGCTATGGCAAAGCAGATCATTCAGTGTCTGTTGAGAAGCTGAAGAGTGTCTTCAAAGACTACGAGATCACCTGGTCCGATAATAAAGAATAGATCACCTGGTCCTGGTAAAGAATATATCACCTGGTCCTGGTAAAGAATTGATCACCTGGTCCGATAATAAAGAATAGATCACCTGGTCCTGGTAAAGAATATATCACCTGGTCCTGGTAAATAATTGATCACCTGGTCCTGGTAAAGAATTGATCACCTGGTCCTGGTAAAGAATAGATGGAAACTGTAGCACTTACCCCCCCCCTTTGTATATGTCTGCTAATATCTGCCATATGACTATACGCCCCTGTTAACAAAACAACACGGATGTACAAGGACACCTGCAGTCACTGCAATGATTATAAATCATTAAAATAAATCAACATCTTTTTCAGTTTATTTTGTACCAGTTTTGATGCATACTAGTGTGTATCTGCAACCAGCGTAGAGTTGAAATGAAAGTAAAGTAGGTCTTCTCCCCAAAAAAATGATCACATCAGGACCATCAGTCATAATGGTGGTGGAGGCTGCGAGCCAAGCGGAAAGTCCATACAGGAAGCTTCTGTGTGATATGTGAGCACAAAAACATATCCTGTTGGCCTCAGTGAAAGCTTCTCTTTGGGGAACCATTAATAGTGTTGAGGGACTGTTACTCAGATCCTGTCAAACAGACAGTCTGTTGTTCCAGATCCATATTCAGTGCATATGGAAAGTGTTCAGACCCCTTGACTTTTTCCACATTTTGTTACGTTACAGCCTTTTTCTAAAATGGATTAAATATTTTTTTCCCATCATCAAATATTAATTTTACATAAATATTCAGACCCTTTACTCAGTACTTTGTTGAAGCACCTTTAGCAGCGATTACAGCCTTGAGTCTTCTTGGGTATGACGCTACAAGCTTGGCACACCTGTATTTGGGGAGTTTCTCCCATTCTTCTCTGCAGATCCTCTCAAGCTCTGTCAGGTTGGATGGGGAGCGTCGCTCCACAGCTATTTTCAGGTCTCTCCAGAGATGTTTGATCGGGTTCAAGTCCGGGCTCTGGCTGGGCCACTCAAGGACATTCAGAGACTTGTCCCGAAGCCACTCCTGCGTTGTCTTTGCTGTGTGCTTAGGGTCGTTGTCCTGTTGGAAGGTGAACCTTCGAACAAATCTGAGGTCCTGAGCGCTCTGGAGCAGGTTTTCATCAAGGATCTCTCTGTACTTGGCTCCGTTAATCTTTCCCTCGATCCTGACCAGTCTCCCAGTCCCTGCCGCTGAAATACATCCCCACATCATGATGCTGCCACCACCATGCTTCACTGTAGGGATGGTTCCAGGTTTCCTCCAGACGCGACGCTTGGCATTCAGGCCAAAGAGTTCAATCTTGGTTTCATCAGACCAGAGAGTCTTGTTTCTCATGGTCTGAGAGTCTTTAGGGGCCTTTTGGCTTCCGTCTGGCGACTCTACCATAAAGGCCTGATTGGTGGAGTTCTTAAGAGATGGTTGTCCTTCTGGAAGGTTCTCCCATCTCCACAGAGGAACTCTGGAGCTCTGTCAGAGTGACCATCAGGTTCTTCGTCACCTCCCTGACCAAGGCCCTTCTCCCCCGATTGCTCAGTTTGGCCGGGCGGCCAGCTCTAGGAAGAGTCTTGGTGGTTCTAAACTTCTTCCATTTAAGAATGATGGAGGCCACTGAGTTTTTGGGAACCTTCAATGCTGCAGTAATGTTTTGGTACCCTTCCCTAGATCTGTGCCTTGACACAATCCCATCGGAGCTCTACGGACAATTCTTTCGACCTCATGGCTTGGTTTTTGCTCTGACATGCAATGTCAACTGTGGGACCTTTATATAGACAGGTGTGTGCCTTTCCAAATCATGTCCAATCAATTGAATTTACCGCAGGTGGACTCCAATCAAGTTGTAGAAAGATCTCAAGGATGATCAATGGAAACAGGATGCACCTGAGCTCAATTTTGAGTCTCATGGGAAAGGGTCTGAATACTTATGTAAATAAGGTATTTCATTTAATTTATTTTTTCAAAGAATTCTAAAAACCTGTTTTTGCTTTGTCATTATGGGGTATTTTGTGTAGATTGATGAGGGGGAAAAAATAATTTAATCAATTTTAGAATAAGGCTGTAACATAACAAAATATGGAAAAAGTCAAGCGGTCTGAATACTTTCCGAATGCATTGTACTGTACATGTCTCTGTGTGTTGTTCATATCCTCTGAAACCACAGTCCAGGGCTTTCCAGTTTCCACTATTTATTTTAGGACAAGAGTTATGTAAGGACAGGCCTAAGGGGCTTTCCGGCTTTGAATCACACCAGTATCTTCAACAGTGGGCATTTAGCAGTGGGCAGTCTGACTCTTGTTAAGAACAGTGCCAAACTAGCTTAGAATAACATATATCCATTGACCCAATGTATTTATTCCATTCAGCTAAGAGCTACTATTAGTTGCATTAAGTCAGGTGGTTTAGCACAACCCCTTTGAATTCTTCCGCCGTCCGGGACCAGAATTCCCTATCCCTAACTAAAGGTATGGATGGAAAGATGGAGAAACACATGGAGAAGTGCTTGTCTTAAACAAACATTGAGAAGAAACGGAAGGCATCTTTCACAGGTTACTAGTGCCCGTAAAAAAATGACCTTCCCTCGTGTTTCTGTCCATAGTCCCCTTCTCATGCAGGCAGCTTCCTATGAACTGATAACAATCCAGACCTTTCTATTCTCTGCTAACAGGGAGGTCACAGGTCGGGTGGGATGGAGGAGGGTTCAGTTATGTTTTGATTTCTCTTTGAAGGGAAAGATTTTATAACAAAAGGGGGTTTGTCATGGCCATAAAAAGCAATTGAAACAAAGGTTCCATGTTTTACAGTATAATTATTACAATAAAACAATATTTTTCCATTATTATGGTTTAGCTATAGTTCTATGAATGACTGTCAGGGAAAGAGGACAGATTTCAGTAAATAAGACATTTTATACAGTACAGCCAGTGTGATGTGTTATCAGGCGCCGGCTATTGTGGTTATAGTGGGGGTTTTAACACTCATAATGGATTGAGGGAAATGGATTGTTTATTTTTCTATGTTTGTTTTGTCTGTGTTAATCAGTAGTTTTGCAGTCAGTGTGCTACTTAATCACTTTTCTCGTATATACAGTATCTCACAAAAGTGAGTACACCCCTCACATTTTTGTAAATATTTGAGTATATCTTTTCATGTGACAACACTGAAGAAATGACACTTTGCTACAATGTAAAGTATTGAGTGTACAGCTTGTATAACAGTGTAAATTTGCTGTCCCCTCAAAATAACACAACACACAGCCATTAATGTCTAAACCGCTGGCAACAAAAGTGAGTATACCCCTAAGTGAAAATGTCAAAATTGGGCCCAAAGTGTCAATATTTTGTGTGGCCACTATCATTTTCCAGCACTGCCTTAACCCTCTTGGGCATGGAGTTCACCAGAGCTTCACAGGTTGCCACTGGAGTCCTCTTCTATTCCTCCATGACGACATCATGGAGCTGGTGGATGTTAGAGACCCTGCACTCCTCCACCTTCCGTTTGAGGATGCCCCAAAGATGCTCAATAGGGTTTAGGTCTGGAGACATGCTTGGCCAGTCCATCACCTTTACCCTCAGCTTCTTTAGCAAGGCAGTGGTCGTCTTGGAGGTGTGTTTGGGGTCGTTATCATGTTGGAATACTGCCCTGCGGCTCAGTCTCCGAAGGGAGGGGATCATGCTATGCTTCAGTATGTCACAGTACATGTTGGCATTCATGGTTCCCTCAATGAACTGTAGCTCCCCAGTGCCGGCAGCACTCATGCAGCCCCAGACCATGACACTCCCACCAACATGCTTGACTGTAGGCAAGACACACTTGTCTTTGTACTCCTCACCTGGTTTGCCGCCACACACGCTTGACACCATCTGAACCAAATAAGTTTATCATGGTCTCATCAGACCACAGGACATGGTTCCAGTAATCCATGTCCTTAGTCTGCTTGTCTTCAGCAAACTGTTTGCGGGCTTTCTTGTGCATCATCTTTAGAAGAGGCTTCCTTCTGGGACGACAGCCATGCAGACCAATTTGATGCAGTGTGCGGCATATGGTCTGAGCACTGACAGGCTGACCCCCCACCCCTTCAACCTCTGCAGCAATGCTGGCAGCACTCATACGTTTATTTCCCAAAGACAACCTCTGGATATGACGCTGAGCACGTGCACTCAACTTCTTTGGCTGACCATGGCGAGGCCTGTTCTGAGTGGAACCTGTCCTGTTAAATCGCTGTAAGGGGTGTACTCACTTTTGTGAGATACTGTATATATTTTAAATCAAAAGGGAACTGCAACGGGATAGTATGGGTACAGATCACAATATTGTGAATAAATTGAAATGTAGCTTCTGGTGTTTGTTGTCAATAGGCCCTCCAGAACAAGGTCCCAAGAACAAGGTCACTGCTGAGTCAGAGGCCACTTCCATTCTCTCTCTCTTCCTCCACAGACTAGAACATTACATAATTTATCATGTCTCCAAAATGACTTGGTTTTAGTCACACACAGCAATCCCGAAGGTCTTGTAACAGGAAATAGATAAATACAATAGAATAGAAAAGGATTAATCTTGTTAACACTCATGTTTTATATAATCAAAAGTAATGGGGGAAATGTAACAATACATTCAGCGCTGAATTCAATTTAAAGATTTTGAATGACCAATAGGCCTTGGCCTAGCTAACTAATAACTTACTCTTTGATATTTAGCATGCCCTTAAGTGTGACTCAGATCTTGAGGAGAGGAGTGCACAAGTTAATTGACTCCCGTTTCCTAACAAGAAGTTGTAGTCCCTTCCTGCACCGAACATAACTCCCACCTCAGATTTACTGGAACAAAGGAAAAGCCACAGAGAGATGGTTTATATTACTGCCAGGAGATGTTATCATCAGAACAACTAGGCCTACATGAAGTCATTACACTTCGTAAACACCCAATCAAGTTATGAAAATCAGTGTATCTCACTCAGCCATCAACAGCTAAAACATGACACGTCATTATGACTTGAAAATGCAAGACGACAATTGAAGACATCAATCACGTGCTGAATATGACCCTGG